AAAGTATCATACATCAGATATAAATACCTTGTAAAGTGCGGTACTTGAGTAAATGTACCTTCCAGCAGTGTGTAGCCTTTAAAGTGATGTATTGCTTCGTGGTGTTTTAACCAGCGTGGATTTCATGCTCCGCAGACCACTGCCGAGTTCCACAGTGCGATTTGCATTTCCAACAGATTTCAAGCACACACAGCACATTTCAACGTGTGGGTGGTATCAGGCAACACATACAAAAGATGGAAGATCACGCTCACAACAAAAGCTTGTGTAAGCTCTGGTTTCCGCAGGCGAGCAGGGCCTCAGAGCTGCAGGGCGGAATGATACCCGTCGGCTGGAGGGAAAAAATTAGACCTGCTCTCTGCTGAGCATGTCCAACACCTTCGTCGGACACTGCTGGACACTGATAACCACGTTTGAGCTCAGTGAGGTGGCGTGCAGACAGGGAGGCCGGAACATCCCGACAGGGGACGGTTACTCTGACTGATTGAGGCTTTTAAATCCTCACTACAGGGCTGAAAAAACCTGCTGCTACCATTGAGAGATTAAACCTGAATGCTGCAGCTGATTTCCCAGAAACCAAATGAAAAGTGAGGCAGGAGCATTCACTCATGTTACACGGCTCCGTGATGACAGCGATGTGGAGGCTCTGACATTTCAGTGCTCGCAGATAAGAGAGATAAATTCGTTCCTTTGTCACAAATGTACAAGCAGGATGCCAGCAGAGAACCTGCACAGTCACATGTCACATGTGTGCTGTTAAAAGACCACACTTCTTCTTCTTCTGTTGTTTTCCTTTCGCTTCCAGGCAGCCATTAGTTTCCCTTTTGGTTTAATAAAGCTGCTTTCAGAGATTGAACTGAACTTGGTTATTTTCCTGCAATTTTCCAGAATGTGAGATTGCAAATGTCTGAGTGAATTGTTTCAAACATCCTCCACAGTTTTTTCTGCCAGCCTCTTGGTAAAATTTTGAAGTGAACCCATGTGAGAATATGCAGAAAAATTGTTTAAATGTTTACACAATTAAAAAACTGCCTGGAAAGTAGGAAAGGTGTAAATCATGAGGAGAAGAAACAAAGAAACACTAAAAATAAAACCATTAGAATTCTGCTGCCATCACCTTTGTCAGCGATAGACAGTGTGCTGTTGAAGTACTGCTCCTCCAGGCTCCAAGATGCTTCATTCATTTTGTTGGAGATCCCACATGAGCCCTGACAGTTCACCTTGATGGCTGAAATAAGAGGAGAGAGAAAAAAGACGTGTTAAAGTGTGTTATCTTCAATGCAGGATCAGTAAGACAACAGCAAAAGACAGATGGGGCTGCAGGTATACATCAATCTGCACATTAGTTTCTTCATTAAATCTATTTCTATGCCTGCACAAATGACTCAAATCAGGACATTTGTGAATGTAAAATTTTGCAACAACAGCAGCTTCCATAATCCTGAGGAGAACAAATATTAAATTGTCAAATATTGCTCTGTGATGCTGACATGGTGACATGTCACAAAACCCACAGTACACGTTAGCAGAACTTCTTAAAACAAAGCAGCTCTGGCACCGTAGAGTGAAAAACCCAGACCGGCAGCACAAAACACTCTGATCAGCATGAGAATGAATCACAAAGAGAGACGTCTCACTAAATCATTATGGGTCCCGTCAACAAACGGAGGTGAGGAGGAGGACTGAAGGACAAAAACCATGAAAAATACGTAGAGGCAACGCAAGCCGCAGATATTTCCATTGGTCGTTGTTTTTCACAATAAAAGCCTTCTCGCCAGGAGAATGGACGGAAATCATCAGTCGTGATCGACAGATCTACATGTCTGCAGTGTGACCACAGCCTGACTCTCTTTTTATCTATCCCTCTGTTTCTCCGTCTGTGAGGAAATTAAAAATTCTCTGCATGCACACACACGCACACACAAACATAACGGTGAAAGCAGAGGATTAAACAGACGAAGCCTCTGTCTCAGTCATCAGATAAGCAGACTGACTGACAGGAATATACACGTTTATTGTTTTAAATATTTTGTCGCAGTGTGAATTTCTTTTACTTCTTTCTTTCTCTGAGTATGAGCACTTTTACAACTTCTACCGAAACGAACCAAACTTCTCAAATGCACCAGCGACTATTTCTAAATACATATTTAGGCCTCTTGCCTTCATTTGATAGTGGATGGAGACAGGGAACATGTCATCAAGCAGTCTTTCTCATTAATTTGTGGCATTTCCCACAAATTGTTATACTCTCCTCGTCTTCGAGGGTCCTCTAATGTGTACCCTCCTCACAAGATCGGCACAAGTCGTACATTACAGGGGCACCAACTGTGCACACGCTTTAAAATGACTCCAAGCGACTCTAGAAAGAGTGTGACTCTTATTCCAAACATGACACGGTCAGGTAGCATAGAGCAGGTCGTCCACCAACCAGAGCACCTCCAGTCTGAATGACAACGTGTCCTTGAGCAAACACTGAACCCTGAAGCCCTGCACGATGGTGTGTGTGAGTGTAACTTGTACTGAAAGCACTTTGAGTGGTCGATAAGACTAGAAAAGTATTATATAAATACAGACCATGAGACAAAGAAACCACACAACACAGACTTTGTTTAACCAATCACAGCTCATACCAATGCAGGATCCTGTGACCCTGTGCTGGCATCACTCACTCATGCACGAACGCAAGCACGAACGCACACACACACACACACTTCCTCAGAGTGGCAGATGGCAGCTCTCTCCACACCAGCAGGACCGTTGGCACAGTTTCTGGGGAAGAGGGAGGGACCTTTTTCGGTAAAAACTAAAATCTCCGCAGCTCAATGTCCATTTATTCGGTCATTAATTGCACTCTGCAATCTGCTCCTCCAGCCATCTGCCTCATTCACGGGGGAGAATAAAACCTCCATCCTCCACATCAACACGACCAGTGAGCTTTCTGCATCACAGAGCCGAACCGAGCACAAATAACCACAGAGAAGAGAGGCACGACTGTGACGTGATATTTATTTTTGCAGCCGTGTGTTGTGGTAAAGTGAGGAGCCTGGTCCATGAGGTCAGTGCAGGGGTAATCTGTTAATATCCAGCGGCTGGATGAGTGGCAAGGGCAGAGCTGAATGAAAACAGTTGCATAAGAGACGGGCAGAGAGACTGTCTGTGTCTGAATAATGGCCGAGCCTCTCCACACTCTCCAGATGGATCAGGAGTGGTACTGATGTGTTTGATGAGACCGACATCCACACTAAAATATAATGTGTCACCAACACTCGGAACCTAAATTTAACTTTGTGTTTGGTGTGTATTAAAACCTCAGATTTTTATGTTTATGTTATTTATCTTCCTGAGCTTCTCTTTGAGGCGAGCTTTAAATTTCTATATCCCTGGTAAATATTTGATCTCAAACCACAAGTGCAGGTAGCTAATGCAAACTAAACCAACAAAGCTTTTGTTCATTTACTGACGCTGACAACTTCCAACCTGCCCTCGCACCACCAGCGACAGATTCACACCCGGGAACTGCCAGCACAGGAATCTACAGCAGCGGCCAGTTTTCCACAGGATAAACCACAGCCTGAGGCAAACTGACGCTCAGACGAGAGAGAGGCCGGCAGCGGAGCGTGCTCTGACTCAGCAGCTGACTGGATTTGTTACCAACACACTGGAGTCGGTCCAGGTTCTCTCCACGGTTCAATGAGAGTGTCTGTAGGCGGAGAGGATCCCGGTGCCACTACTCATTGTGTTTAGAGAGTCAGACAGTGTGGGCAGGCGGATCCAGGAGATGTCAGCGATAGCGTTTCGAGAGCTGGCGGCCTCAACTCGACTGCTGTGTTGTGGTTCTCTGATGTGGGTTGGATCAGTGATGGTGGGTCATGGAGGAAGTGGCTGGCAGTTGAAGGTGTGGTTCTCATGAGTCAGGTGATCATGAGGGGGAACGTGGATAAATCTGTTACAAACACACCCTGGTTTTACAGCACTTGGCAAAAACAGACTGAGGAGAGGAAACCACAAACCTGAGTCGTAGCGTTCTTCATTTCAACCTTATCTAACCTGGGCTGATTACTGTGCGTCATACTGGTGCTTATACAATAACATAGAACATCTTTTTCTACAAAGCTTTTTCCAAATTTTACCTGAAATTTAACGATCAGTTTTATTGTTGGTTAATCCACCAGTTAGTAAACTTTATCGTCAATGTAATCAAAATTAAATCAGTTTCATTTACGACAGGTAGTTTAACTGTGAGCGTGTAGCGAATACAGCAAATACTATCGCTACAATTATCTACCAAAAACAAATACCTGTGAGTAATATATGAGGGTCAAGAGAAGATAAGGTAAGAATATACTTGATTCATACCCTTGGGGAAATTCCAGTATCCAGTGGCTCACAGAAAAAACAAAGAAATATACCAACAATTAGATAGAAGCAATTTAACCATATAAGGGTCAGACTGATACACACAACTTTACAAACAACAGCTGCACAGATGTGCTGTATGTATGTAAAAGTTTATAAAGTTAATCCTCTACTATTTCGTGGATACTTTTTCCCCTCACACTTTTTTGCTCAGTCATTGATGCCAATTTTCTCCTCCACTGTCTCCATGTTCCACTTCCCTGAGAAAATGTGCCAGTTACACAAAACTGGTATTCGCTCTTTTCCAAACATATGCAGAAAATGATTTCTACACCCGAGCACGGGTACGTACAAAACACCGACTGTGAGCAGATGTTTAACCACGAGGCAGAAAATGTGTCTGTGGGGGTGAAACCGTGAAGTCAGAGCTTACTGCCTGTTGCATCACTTCATGGGAAATAGGAGTCAGCCTTGGAAGCACAGACTTTTTTCCCCAGTGAGTCTAATTTCAGGTGATGGTGAAAGTGTGTGAGTAAGGTCAAAGAAGAAAGCAGAGGGAGAAAAAAAACATCTTTACAACCATTAGGATTTAATGAGTTTTCCCAAGAAAAGGCTTTTTGAATGAACTGAATTGATCAACATTCCTCACATGCACTGAAAAGGCTCCTCGTACGTCATTTATACATTCCTGCATAATGAGGTTTTGGAGACGTCCAAAGCAGCGTCGGTGTGATAAGTCCTGGTGGTTTTACAATGAAAGTTCTGTCGACGCAAACCACAAAACCTAAACTAACAAAATCGAACGGCGATGCTACTAATGATGCTAACAAAAGCAGTTAAATTAGACTTATTAGGAGTTTTTCAATGTTTCTCTCCTCTTGTGTTTTAATTAGTTCTTCTCCCCCTCACAGTAAATACAGAAGCTCCTGAAATACCTCAGTAATCCGGCCGATACTTCTGCATCATCATGACATCACGATAACCAACGTTTACATTATAAATCCTCATTAGCTGACACGCCCCCTCACATAGCCAGGTCAAAAACAGAGGCACTCGCCGACCAATCACAACGGAGAGAGCAAGCTGGCCAATCAGAGCAGACTGGTGCTCGACCTTAAAGAGACAGGAGGTAAAACAAAGCTTTTCAGACAGAGACTGAAAAGAGGAGCAGCAGCAATGGACAGTAAGAGGAGAGGGATGTGTTTCCAGGAAGTAAACCTTCAAAGTAATAACACAAAATAAAATTATGAATATGAGCAGAATATGTCTCCTTCAAGGGTTAAATGTGTATCAGACGTGGCTAGTCCAATCTTGATTATCAAACCATCCTATGATTGCATTGATCACAGAGAGATAATATGATTTATCAGGTTAAAAATCACAAAATTGAGAATTTCCCATTTTGTTTTGTTTTGTCAGGTCTGAGCTTGAGACAAAAAAAAAGTCTTCTGGAGCAGGTTGAGGTTTTTTTCCGTCTTGTAGCATTGTAAATAACAATGGTCTTGAATGACATGACAAAGATACACTGACGATATTTCGTTGTTAAAATGATTCCTAGTATCTTCCTCAAACCTCAGAGGTCCGAGCCTTCGCCCTGTGCCAAAGGACAGCCGAGTAATCCGATGATACACTTACTACCTTCATTAAATCTTTAAGTGCTGCAAACAATTAGTCCCTCTCACTTTTCCAGCGTGTCCCCTTATCCTCTTTCTGCTGCCTCTCTGTGGGACATGTCAAACACGGCCACCTGATCTTTTGATCTATTACTCCTGACTGGAGTGACTGTAAGGGAATCCCCTGCAGAACAGAACAGAGGGCGGGCTGTTCGCTCAGACATGTCCTAGGTAACCTCTCTCTTAGGTAGCAGACAGA